GAAATTGGCTGGCTGATGTCTCATTTCAGGAGGATTGATACCAGCGCTGCTTCCCTTGGAAATACAACAGCGTGTTGCTGGTACCGAGTTTCACTCTCTTCACTTCAAGTTCTTGTTGTTTCTCTTGCCTGGAGCTTCTACTTACACAAAGCAGAAAATATCCAAAGCTGCATGAAATATTTCTGTGAGCACTGGAATTTCTGAAGCCTTATCTCCAGCATTTGTGGTGCTCAGCTGGCTGTGGTTTCATAAGGTGGAGCTCTGGTCTGAGGGTTTTTCCTGGGGTTGGGCATCATTAACTCTTCCTCCCTAATTGATTTGCTGGGATAGATGATCCAAGTGGTGCCAGTTCAGTGCCAGCAGGACTTCTGGGATTTTCTTTTCTATCCAGCCACCTGTTTTCCCCAAAACTGTAGGAATTTAGGCTTGGATATCACCTGAGGCAAAGCTGATGCCCAACAAATCTTCAAGTCATGAGGAACTTAATGGAGCTGGGTTAAAATAAGTTTTTGGGTAGGATCTAAAAACTTTACAGAAGCAGGGGAAAAAAAAACATAATTAAATGTGGGAGAGTTGGAATGGGAGTTGTTTTCTATGTTTCTTGTATACCCAATGTTTTTCATGGTTCCAAAGGAAGATTAAGACTTAAGGATTTTAATTTCAAGAAGCCAACAAACAGCCTGCACCCGTTCACCTGAGGACTTGGAAAATGCCTCTGGACCATTGTAAAAACAGCATTCCCTTAGTGAGGGTAAGTAAAATAAAGGGAGAAAAATAAACCAAATAACTGGATTTTTTTTTAATGGTTAAGATAAGGTGAACATCCTCTCTTACAGCATTTCACCTGCGTGTGAAGAGCAACGCCTCCCACCTGCTCTGCTTTCCTTCAGGGACTGCATTACCAGAGGTTCTGTGGCTTTGACATTGGAAAAGCAGCAGTATTTTTCCACTTAACTTAATCTTAGCTATTATTTTTCTGCAGCAGCAGAAAACAGCGCAAGGTGGGAAATGTCAGGAGGCAAAAAACAATAAGACATTTGAATTACATCTCTCTCTTGATTCCCAGCATTGAGCCAGGCAACTTCTTCTCCTGCCCCAGGAGTTTCTCCTTATTCACAGAGACAAAAAGAATTGATGGCAGCTATGTGCTGGAAAGAGAAACTGTGCAGAAATTCCAAAAAACAACATAAACCAGGTTTAGTTCACACTTATTTAATGGTAAATAGGAATAACAAGGTCATCCAGATGTGTGACTAATCCTAGAGCCAAATCCTGATGTTTCAGCACACTTGTACTCAATTCTTTACTCAGGCAGTTTGGCAGAGTTTGGTAAAGCTTCATAAGAAAAGCAGAATTATTTGGAAGAAGAGAGTGGCCAGAACCTGATTCTTTACCCATGCACCAATTTCAGCTTAATGCAGCTGATGTGGGAGTGACCAGCCCTTGAAGAAGGGTAAAATCGATTTTATTAAACTGACTGAGAGATGCCAACAGGATTAGGTTCACTCTCTACAGGCAGAACTGCTCCTGCAGCTTAGAGAGAAATTCTGGCTTTCACTCTGCTCCCATCTACACTGCTGGAAGTCAAAGGGGATTTCTTTATAACCAATATTAAGGCATTACACACAAGGCAATTGCACCTGTAAGAAGGTGGTGTGGGCTGAACCCTTTGGGCTGACATTTTCACTAATGTTTGAAATGAAATAACAAAGTACTTGTGGTATTTTTTTCAAATGTTAAAGCTGTGGTTGAGAGACCCTATGTGTGCATCAGCCCTAAATCTCTTAGGTTGAGGAATTCCCAAGAATTCCCAGGAAACACTTAGAAAATATCAGGGGATAAACTGTGGAAAGAGATCTCAGGGGAAATTACCTCAGGAAAGGAGGGAAGCAATCCCTTAGTGTCACACAAATTACATGGGGAACAGAACTCTGGCCGGTGGAGTTTGTAAAACACTTCCCACAATACCTCAGGTTTCAGCTTTTATATTTTTCCCATTCTGAGCTGCTTTAGTGTGTGGGTCCGGGTTTCATATTATGGGATGGTGAGCTGTGTGCACAGAGCAGGGAGACAAAACAATTCCTGCTCCAGCTGGGCACCAAGGACAAATGCGCCAAATCTCAGCCCAGGAGCACAAACCCCGTGGGCTGCAGAGAGAAAAACAAGCAGGGTGGGACTGCCTGGGCTGAAGCTGGAATGGGACAATGAACTGCAAGGGGCAAATGGAGCAGAACCGATCCCAGGGAGAGACCCCGGGAGCGCTCGTGCATTTTGGGGCCGTTTTGGTTCATCGTGGGTGCAGCCCTGGCTGGGCTCTGGTGCTGCCCAAGGTGCATCCATGAATCCTTTCCATAAATCCCTGCTTTATTCTGGAATTCTGCCCAGCCTCTGTCCTAGCTCAGCCTTCTCAAGGCATCACCCAAAGGAATAAACCATATTCCCAAAGAATATGGCTCTGCCTCTTCAGAATTCTCTTTGGCAGAACTCTGCACTATGGGGGAGCCTGGCCCAGTTGATGAGGAATAGCTCAGTGCAAGCTCACCCCTTTTTATCATTGAAGGGAGGATGGATGGGAAGGATGAGTGAAACCATCTGTGATTCCCAGTCCCTTCTGAACGGGAGATCCTCTGCTAAACCAACCTGATCTCTATTGACAAGTTGTGACAAGGATTCATTCATCATCATGAACATTTTGTTTGTCAGTTTGGACTTTCTTTGGTTTGAGTAATCCAGGAATCACCCATTTTACCAAATATACCTCAGAGCACTAAAATACCACGTGACAAAAAAAAAATAATTCTTTCCCCTGTTTTTCCTTCCCTCAGGTTTCAGATTGAGACCCTTCTTTGTAAATTGTGTAAGCAAAAATGAAGTTCTCAAGACCCTTCAGCCTCATTTTATCATATAATATTAATCAAGAGAGACCTCAGCCTTCACATGCTGCACCAGCCAGGCCTCTGTCGATTTTTCCCCTTTCATTTAAAGAAAACATAAATTCCCACCTGTGGCTTTGCTTGGGAAAGGGCTGCTCAATGAAACCAGGCAGTGGTTCAGCAATTAGAGCCCAGGATTGAAAGGCAGCCAGGTCACAGTTCTGGGGCAGATTTGCTGCTGTTTGTCCTGATGAAGTTCCTCCTAAATGAGGTGATTATTGCAGCTGTCAGGAATGAAAAGGTGGTACCCATCGATTTCACCCCCTCTGCAGGCTCCGGGCCCTGCTGCTCCACAGCAGTCAATGGGAATTGCCAATTAACAAAAACAATATTGGCAAGTCGGCAGTTTGAGGAAAAACTCCCTCCAGCCAGTGCACAAATCTCTTACCATTCAAGACATTCAAATCACCGTCCTTGGGCAAAGGCATTGGCAAACCTGCTCAGAAAAACAAGGAAAATGAGATTTTTATTTTGGCATAGCTGCATAGGAAATTGTGGAGCTTGGAGCTTGTCTGCACAGGGGAAATGTGGCAGAAAGCTACACGGGAGCACACTGAAATGCACACCCTGCCTGGAGATAAAATCACTTTACTTTGGAGTAATTCTGTTCTGGAAACACATTGCTTCATCAGGAATAAAGTATCTTTTATTTCAGAATTAAAGTGTCTGTGCTCTTACTCTGCCCTTCTGCTAATGATCACAGATCCAGCTGTTGATTGTAATAAATAGAGGCTCTTCCTCAACAGCTACTGTGGAATTCTTCCCCTTGTAAGTAAGGAATTATCATGCTTCTAATTACCTCGTGTTTCAAATACAGCTCGTATAAATGAGTACTCTTGACTCACCTACAGATTTCAGCAATTTCCATGCAATTAAATCGTTAAGGTGCAGCTTTGGGCAGTAAAACCACTTCTGGAAGAGCAGCGTGTTAGACATGATGGAGTGAACCTGGGTTAGAAAACACCCAGCAGCTCCAAGTGATGGTTGTTCTTGCCTTTCCTAAGGAATTTTGCCTCTGCAACAACAATCCTGGGGTTTGCATGGTGCTTTTTAACACAAGCTCTCAAAGGATGTGACTGAAAAGTGTCCTAGAAATGGGGAAAGTGAGGCAGCTCTTGGGAGAGGTTTGTTTGATGTTTGGTGAAAAACAAGCTTTGGATTTCCAGCCCTGGACAGGGTGACGCCCACCTTTCCTTTTTCCAAAGGTGATCCTGTGGCAAGGGATGGAGGGATGGTAAAGCAAGGACTGAGGGCAAGGAGGTTGCTGTTCAGTATTGTGGAATGCCAGCATTGTAGGATCATGGAATATCCAGCTTTGGAAGAGACCCACACAGCGAGGGTTGGGTGTTGCAGCATTTTTGAGGTTGTGAACAAATTCCAATCCGTCACCTCCATCTGCTCCAAACCCACAATTCCTGTGCCAAATGCTCCAGTTTGCTTCCAGAGCTCACTTCAGGGACCACCTGGGCTGGCTTATCTTTGGTCACCTCACTGCCTTCCCATGGAAAACCTGGCGAAATTATTCTTAATATAGCTTAAGGTCATTAAATTAAGGGAAGTGGCAGCAATTCTTGTGGGTGTATTTGTGATCAGACTCATTCAGGCTGTGACACACCATGAGTATTTAGCATTTCTAATTCATGGAACACGTTAATTTAAATACTTAAGGCACTTTATCAACTTTTAACTCTATAAACAATTAAACCTCTTACTGCTCAACCAACCCTGATCCATGAGTGCTCTGAGGGGATGCTTTGGTCCCTTGTACCCCCACTGTTTCCTAGTGCTCTCACAGTGAATGACGGCATTTGGGCACAGGTGTCTTTGCAGGTGTATCTTGTCAGGTCGATAATTTTTTAACCTTTTACTCATTTTTAACCACCTGCCGAAGGTTTGCGTGGGAATCTGTATCGCCGCCGCCATAAAAACTACAACTCCCAGAAGGCTCCGCGGCGCCGCACCCCGCCTTGGTGCCGCGTGCACCGCCCTCCTCGCTCTCTATTGGGTGTTAGCCCACCCTCCTCGCTTATGATTGGCTGCGGCGTGCTAGCACGTGTGTCTGCGCCGCGTTTGGGGGAGTGCAAGATGGCGGCGGGCGACGCGGTTGGGAGGTACCGCAGCACTGTTGGCAGGAGCAAGGACCCCTCGGGGCTGCTCATCTCGGTTATCAGGTAGGGGCGGTCCCGCTCCGCATCCTCCGGGCCTCTGAGGGTGCCCCAGGGCCGGGTGCGGGCTCTGCTGTGCTGGGGAGGCCTGCTCGGCTCGTAC